CGTACCTTCCTTATGAGACACGACTGACCAATCTTGACTTATTTCCTCTGGACGGCTCAGACGGCTGCGCGGTGACCTAATACAGGAATTTCGCATGCTGCGGGGTCAGGATTGTTGCCTAACATCCAACGATTTATTTGAGCTGGCCACTAGCACTAGCTTGCGTGGACACCCTCTCAAACTACGTGTGACTGGGGCAAGATTGGACACGCGAAAATTCTTCTTCTTTGAGAGGGTAATTCAGGCATGGAATGCTCTTCCCGCGAACATTGTCATGTCCCCATCTGTTGACGCGTTTAAGATGATATTTGACGAGTACAGCAATGACGTTCTCTGAATTGAAGCCAGGCACGACAGAGTAATTCCATTTTATACAAAACGTACTGCTCGCTACTTTTCAGTAATGTGTTTGTTTAGAATAACGGCTGAGGATCGTGGTGGGCCTCCGGGTTTCGTCATCTGGTTGGCAGACCCGGTAACCAGCAAGGGCGCATCTCCGACACTCGGTGATGTTCTCGAGACCTCTGCAATCTTCTTCTCGTGTAACTCTTAGGATATTGAACAGCGATGGGCTCCCCCTGACATGCTTCAAACACTTTCAGCAGCAGACCATCCAATTTGCATATACTCCTTTGCTTATGGATAAACCGTGCTGAATATCCCCGCTTAAGTAAAGTATCTTTGAGGCAGACGATTTCTGCATCCAATGTCTCCATAGAGCAGACGTTTCTTGTCTTTTGGAGGAGAGGTTCCAATAAATTCTACCGTCTTTGCATGTTTCAAATTTGCACCAAGGAAAAGATGCTTCAATTTGCGAATACATTTTGTTCATTGCCGATGATCTTCTCTTCCTCTCCTGCGTTGGCTTTGGGAACAAGAGTCAGGCAAGCCCACAGTTCGTGTCAATTACAAGTAACAGGCGCGGGTCATTAAAATTTGGCGACACAGTTTCTCACCTACGACGACTGACGCGCACGCCAAATCCAAGCAAATTTTGCAACAGCAGCTGTTGTTGATGGAGGCTTTCACTGTTAAGCTATCCAACTTATCCATGGGCCGATCAAGCACTGCTGGTGGTGCACAATCCGTCGATCA